TTTTTTTTTCATTAAATTTTTTTTATTAAATTTTTTTTATTATTATTATTATATAAGTATTTTATTACTTGCATTAACATTCTAAATATAATTTTTGTGTAAGTATTCTGTTATATTTATTTTCGTTACAATTTGTATATAAAGCAAATTAAAATTGTAGTAAGAACGTTTATATTAAATATTAATTCATTTTTTGGGCCTAATATAAATTCAAAATTTTATTTTCAAAATTATATAACTATATAATTATATAAAAATAAATGTAAATGTAGAAATTATATATCAGTAGCTTCAGTATCACAAGCTTACCACTCTGCAAACGTTTATTTAGAATTATAGAACTATTTTTCAGCAATGACATACTCTTAAATAGTATATTATTATATAAAAAATACATAATAATAAATGGAATATCATGAGGAATAATTAATTTAAATTGTGGTAAAACTACAAATAGTCAAACTAAAAATAGTCAACAGACTAGAAACTGATTTTTCATTCTAAAGCAACGAGTCACTATTTCAGTATTATTTATTCAACATTACAAATGAAATTTTCAGTATTGCAATAGAACTGTTTTAATACAACATAAGTAATATCTTTTTTCTTAGAAAAAATTTACTTGAAATTTAATTTAGACCGAATTCTTTCTAATTACGTGTTTTAGAATGAACAATGATCATTCTTATGAGAAAAGATGGATTCTTTTTCAATTTTAATAAGGTGAATTGTGAATCGTGTTTAATATATGTAACTTAGATTGTTTTGATTAATAACTCTTAATTGAAACATTTAAAAATAGTGATTTTATAAATTAGAGAAATTTTATTACTTTCTATCTCTTATAGTAATGACTTATAATTTTTAAAACTATGTGTTTACAATTAAATTGACTTTTTATTATTCCTTCAATTCTTACAATTTCTTCCACATATTTTGAATTTAATATAAAGTCAATTTCCTGTCATAATTGAAACAATTTTTGTTTGAGATAGAATAAAATATTATACTATTATCATTTATTGTACGTTTTATATAATCGCACTAACAATTTTTTATACAATCTCTTTATAACTTTTAAAGATTGTAAATTAATTATAAAAAGACTTGAATAATAAAATAATAATTATTCTTTTGTATTTCTGTATCTGTTTTTTATCAATACAATATTATGAACATCTAATGTTATACATGAAATAGTGACCATTACCACTGTGTGATTATTAATCAGGTCTCTTCCTTATTGGTGTCGCAGTCAAATCATGGATGAATATATGTTGCATCTGTTTTGTTATTATATTTGGTTTTTTTTGAGTATGGTTTTTTTTTGAAATGATAATATGTGCATTATGTTTTCTCATAAATTTTATATTTAAGACCATTCAATATTTAAGACCATTAAAACCAATCAAATTATTCTATTGAATTTGTATTTTTAAGAATTACATAAATATACTTGAAAAGCATAATTTAAGAACATATAAAGAATGTATAAAGAATGTAATTTGCAGAAAGATTTATTTCTTTGTAAATTCCAGAACAAGAGATCTTCACTTTTCACTTTTGTTTTCGTATTATTAAATGTAATGAAAATATGCTCAAATTAGAAAATTATCTGAATTTATAAAATGACATGATGTGAAGTAATTCTTCTCAAACAATGAAAGTTAATAAGACAGAGAACAAATATTTGATTCTTTATAATTTTACAATAGTAAAACATTGTCAATTTATAAACAATTCAATTTCATTGAACAATAGTTCAAGTTTTCATTCATTCTAATGATAGAAATCATTGTCGAGATACAACGAATGTTGGAAAATATATAAGGAAATTGGAATTTAGCGTCTAGAAATGCGAACATTATGAACATTTAGCATAACCTACCTCAGTATAAGCCATTATATTTAAGCATGAATAATGTATTTATTTTATTGTATGCATGAATAATATATTTATTTTGTTATATGATATAATATATAATACATAATACATATAATATCACTTACACTCATGCTTAAATATGATATACAACATTAGTATAAATTAATTGATTAAAACAAATCATGCTTTCTTTTCATACAATAGAAAATGGAAGAAAAGAAGTATAATTCTTTTTATATCGTATACAGTGATTAACATTTGGACGTTAAATATTGAAACTGTTATAATTTTATAATTAATATATACATAGATATAGACCTTTTGGTATGATATAGACTTTTTGAACTTCTTTCCTTTTGAATCATCCAAGCCTTATATTTGAAGTTTAATAAAATGGTGAAAAATTATCATACATCAAGCGTTTTTATTGCAGTTTTCATAAAAAATTTTTAAATATTTTTATATGCTGTGACTCTCTATACTTTCAAGAAGGGAAGTATCCTCATTTGCTTACTACGTGATGTAAAAAATAAATTTTGGAATAAAATAAATTTGAAAGATTTCAAATTGTAAAACGAGTCAAGGTTGTACGATTATTTTTGTAAAATTATAATAGTTTATAATAGTGAATATTTAACGTCCGAATATTAATAGGAGTCACTGTATATCTACATGATATTGTTTCCCATGTATATCGCTAAAATGTAATTAAATATTTTTTTACGCTAATATCAAATTAATAATAACTGATTCACCCTTAATTTTAAGCATGAATATTTAATGTTGAATATAAATAAATGTTTGATATTGTATACTGGAATCTGTTGTTTAAGATAAGCTATTTTTTCAAAATTACATAAATAAAGATACTTTATATTAAAAACAATTTATTGTATATTTTATTTAAGTAGATTGAACATTATGTGTCCCAGTAATATTCTTTTACTACTTGTGATTTATAATTATAAAATTGTTAAATGCTGTTTCGAAAAGCAAATAATGGAATAATGGAGTAAACGATAAAAAGACAACATAATGAAAGACGAAGACAAAAGATAATAAAAGATAATGAAAAGTCTCTGTGAGTTCGAAATACAAAATAGACTTAATATAATCCCTGTGTATCGTAAAATATGATTAAAAATGAAAGGCTGTTGAATAGGTGAGTTTGTGTATCTTGGATAATTAACTATTAAATTAAATTTTTTATCCTATCAATGCATTACACACACACGCACACGCGCGCGCGCGCGCACACACACACACACACACAGATCCTCTTTTATCTACATACCCCTATTTTTTATATTTTTTGAATATCTTAATATTCGTACATTACAGATGATTTTCTTTAAAGAGGGCTTTAAAACACGTGATATAATTATCTCTAATCGACCAATCCATTTCATTAAAGTCAATATTGATTTTTAATAATTATTTTCAATAATTTCCGAGATATCTGACAAAATACGTTTTGCATCCCCAACTTTGAGGGCAGTTTTCATTATTTCTGAAATAATTTTTAAGTAGTATAACATATAATGTTATTTGAAAACTTTTCAGAAAAAGCCCAGGTCTGACTGTTAATACTCTTAAAAAATACTTTTTTATTAATGAAATACTTTTTAAAGAATTGATGGACATATTTGAGCGACGAATAATGAATTTTGTTTAATTGACATTTTGTATGATTTTTAATAATTTATTTCTTTCTCATTTTCTACTCTTTTGTTCAAAATGATTGAAAATAATCTAACAAATGGAAAAGCTGAAATTACCATTATATTGTGTGTGTGTGTGTGTGTGTGTGTGTGTTATGTAATAATATTTCGAAATACAAAAATTCTGTGAAAATTAGTATATAAATAAAATTATTACTAATTATTTTTTTAATTGCCATTATTGAAATCTTCTATTATTGAATATCTTCTATTATTGAAACCACTATTATTGTTTGTCAGAATTTATTAAAACCTCCTATCATTGAAATCACTATTATTGTTTGTCAGAATTTATTAAATTATCATTTATTGATATTCGATGGTTGACAATTGTCAATTGAATACAAAAAAAAGTTGACTGACACAAGAGGATTTACTTTTCTATGGGATTATTTTCTTGTAAATGTAGCGACACACTCTAAAAAATGCAGATGCAAATCCATTTACATTTTTATGTATAAATTGCTTTACACTTTTATTAATCGATAAAAATCGACATTTTCTATGAAATTTTCTATACATATAAAAAAAAGGTAATTATTAGTTTAGGAAAAAGAATATGTAGATCTTCTGATTCGTAAGCATTAGATAATTATCCAGAAAAAAGATTATATCGCAAATGTTTCGTAATCATAGTTTGACGTCAGTTATTAACATCAGTTCATTAATATGTTCTTTTTTTTTCCCCTCTCTTCTCTGCTTGATTTATTCTTATCTATGACTTGTGTTTCAGTTCGAATCGGATCAATATTAAAGAAGCATTAAATGCCAGCGATTTTTAACGCTCGTCCAATTGTTCACTTACGGATTTCATTTCTCCTTCGGTTTAACCAGTCTACAAATTTATTTATTTCTCTCTAAAAAAAAAAAAAAAAGCGTTACGATGCACACGTAATATGTATATCAGAAGTTTACGAGCGTTGTCAGCCAGGATCTGATATGCATGCGATAGGAGCAGTAATCACTGCGATATTGTAGTTTGCTGTATATAATAACTAACTGCTAATTAAATTTAATCATTTAATCTGCTTCAAAAACCAACATCTACGTCTAAAGAGTGCCAACTGTATATGTTTTTTCTACTTTTATTTCTACATCTATTTCAATAGAGGATGTTATATTATAAATTATAAATCTCTTGAAATCCAAACGATACTTATTCCTTCTATCATGCTGCATTGTAACATTTCTGACGTGTTACATCCTTTCGAAAGAATTGGAGTTTCTTTCTCTTTATAGAATCGTTCGTTTCAAAACGAATTCTAAAATCCAAAACGAGATGTAAATTGTCTGTTTTGTCTTGTTTACAAAGTAAATGCAAATATATATGTAAAGCACGATTAGGAGGGGGAATGTGCGATTGATATTCATCCGGGAATTATTAATCGTATTACCTTAACTTTTCCACAGTCATAGACACAATCTTCATCTTCGACACTGATCGTAGTGTCGATCTGGATGCTGTATCCTAGCAATAGTCGATATTAATCATATTCGGCTGTCGCTATACAATTCTCATTTCACTCGCTGTTGTCACAGATCTATAAAAGTTTATAAACGGACAATGAAGAAGTTGTGCCTGTGCCTTCTGTTACAATTATGTGCGGTGACCATGGCAAAAGAGACTATACTGGACATTCCAATTATTAGACGTACCTATCGTGGATATCGTAATTGGTTATCGCAAACTTACGGTAAGTATTTAGTTGATGCTATGATTTTACGTACCAATTTCCTTCCATAAGATTCGAAAAACAGCGTTTTCATTTTTTGTACCTTTCAAATAAGAACTTTTCCCGGCGATTACATGCAAATGATAGATAATTTTTCCACAAAATAGAGAAGAAAAATACATTTCCAATTTAAAGTAGTTTCCTTTCGAACGTCATCTTGCAGGTACGAGGAACAATGAACAAATGATTCAACTGCAGAAAGAAAGTAAATTTCAAACCGAAGTCCCAGCAGACGTACCGTTTCCTTGCAACGTAACAGGTATCATGATCCCTGTGTTTCAAAAGTGAGACGAATGTTATTCTTATGAAGTTACTATTTAACTTATTTACATTTAGCGTAGCAAATAAGTAGATACCTAGCAATTTCAATATTTCCAAGTTTATTTACAGCCCCGTCCTGTTAATTTTATTTCTTATCTTCTTATCACTTCTCCAGCAATTTCTTCTTCCAACAGTACTAGTGTTACTTATTCGCATGAATTTTCCATCTTTTGACGCCAAATTTGTCTTGTATTTTCTAGCTGTAAACATTATATAATATTATATAATATATACTACACAATGATAACAAACACAATACTATGTAATAATACTATAAAAACATAATTTTTCATATAAATTTATTTTGTATAATGAATTCCATTAATACTTGGACGGTAAAAATTAAAATCTTTATTATAATATATATAATTATAATTTAATATAATTAATTATATTATAATATATATATAATTATATATTAAAATATAATTAAAATATAATTAACAATTATAACAATATAATTATAATAATTATATTATTATAATATATAATATATAATAATAATATATAATAATAATATATAATATATAATATATAATAATTATTATTATAATACATTATTAAAATATAATGATAATATTATATTATTAAATTATAATAATATAATATTATATTATTAAATTATAATAATTATAATATTATATTATATAATAATATTATATTATTTTTATATTATTAAATTTAATATGTTATTAAAATATAATAATTATATATAAATATAATGATAAAATATAATGATATTATATTATTAAGTTATAATAATATTATAATATTATATTATATAATTAAATATTATATTATTAAATTTAATGTTATTAAAATATAATAATAATTATTAATTATTATACATTATTACAATGTATATTATAATTCAATTAATATAATTCAATTATTATATATATATTTTATATAATATTTTATTTTATATATTATATATATATATATTTATATCATAATTTTATTATAATTTTGTAAAAAAAGATCGTACAATGATAAACTTGGGCTCATTTCGAAGCTTCAAAGTTCTCGATGTTTGAAACTTTCAGAATGCATCGTTCGTCTTATTCTGACATGTTTTTACACTGTGTAGCAAAGTGAAGACACTTTTCCTCTCGAAAATGTTATAAATTGTGGTTGCATATGCCAAAATGATGGAAATTTTCCTCATGACTGAATCTACGATGAATTTGAAGATTAAATATATTCAACTTCAAATATTATACGTTACTTCAAATATTATACGATCTCTTGAATTTTTTTTCTAAAAGCCTAACATTCAAAGTGCAATAAAATGATGAGAAAAAAAAGTCGCACGTCAAGTTTACGGGATCGTTGTAAAAAGATTGATCGTCGCTTCAAATTTGTCGTAGATTGTGAGAAAAAAGTGAAGAGGAAATATTGAAAAAGAAAGTATCTCGATTTATCCGTCGACTACATGTACGATGTAAAAATATTTTACAGAATAAACCGAATGAAAAGTTAGACTTCAAGCTTCAAAATTTAAAGTCCTAAAGTTTATTGTGAAGCGATTTCTTTTTTTGTTTTTTTAGTATCCGAATATTAATGAGAATCTCTACATACAATGTTCGATAAATAATAAAGTTCGAAGAGATCGTCAGACGATCGCAATAACAATGTATTGAACGAAGGGTAAAACAACTCACAACTTTATCTTACCACAGATTCCGTTACCGCATTCTAATGTTTTTAGGTGGAAGGTCTTCTAACGTTCCCAAATCAGTTCACCGTTTGAGACCAGGAGACATAGATGTCATTGCCGCAATGGGCGATTCTTTGACAGTCTCGACAGCAGTTACCGCGGTTAGTGTGTTTCAAATGTTGGTGGAAAATAGAGGGATATCGGGGAGTATCGGCGGGCAAGAAACATGGCGAAAATACCTGACGTTTCCTAATATTCTTAAAGTTCGTTCATTCCTTATGTAGATTCCTAGTCACTGATATGAATTCAACTTTCTCATAGTTGAATTTTCTTATACATAGGAATTCAACCCGAAGTTAATAGGCTATTCACTCGGAGATTCTGTAAGTATTCATCCGGACGCGCAGTTGAACGTCGGCGAAACTGGTGCAATGTCCGAAGACATGCCTTTCATGGCAAAATATCTGGTTAAAAAAATAAAAAATGACTTGAGGATAGATGTGAACAAAGATTGGAAGGTTCGTACTTTGGACAGAGTAATTATACAGACCTGTATGAAAATATTATATAGCATTCTATTTTATTTATTAAGAAAAGAACACACGCACGCACGCACGCACGCACGCACACACACGCACACA